ACGGATTTCACCCAACACCATTCCTGTGACTGCTTCCTTGTACGCTAGCTGCATGAAGCCCGCTTACATTAATAAAGCGCGCTTTAGTAGCATGGGTGCGGCCGCACGTACCATCACGACCGGTCCCAGATTTCCTGCGAGCTTCCGCGATCCTCACCACAATTTTCCCTTCTTCTCGAGAGGGACGAACGTCGAATACCACTCGTTTTGGTTTTTCAAAAATCTGAAATCTAAAAAAAGGTGGACCACGCAACTGAAAATATCTTACAGCAGCTCTCGAAGTTTATCCGTCGACATGACGACGGAGCATATGTTATTCCGGCTCTTTTGGGTAACCGGACATACACAAAACCGAACCGGATCCGCACAGATTTTCACCCCTCTATCCGGGCTCAGTAGCGTGCTCCTCATGTTTTACCAAAACAAACATAGGATTCCGAATTGTAGTAGTCTCAAAGTTGCAATAAAACGGAAGTACTACTATTCCTAATAGTAGTAGTAGCTGCTAATAGTAGTATCACAACTACGGTATTGCTGTAGCGAGTAAAATCTAAGCTACAGGTGACCACGGAAAAACTCGCCCCAAACAAAAATTCGCCATGAGACGTGTCCGGATATCTGGTCTGATACAAATCCTTTTCAATTATAGCCAATGATATTCTGTTTACGCAATTTATACAAACCAATTAAAACTGCTTATAGTTCACTGGACACGGTTGATAGAAAATTATGTCACTTCGAAACCAGAACGATGCGCGTCGAGCGCTCGTACAAAATAGAATTCAAGCGGCAAGTTATTTCTAGGGCTGCTGTTGTTGGTGTTGATGCTGCTGGGCGCGAGACCAACGTGCCTCGAAGGACGGTCGGCAGTTGGGTCGAATTTTTTGTAGTATTAGATCTGTCTTAGTTGCTATCTAAGCTCATTTCGCGTTCGTTGGCATAGATAGGTACGTTACTTGCTAGTTAGATGATGCAGAAAGGGTGACGACGAACGGTTTTGCGAATTTTAGAGTTGTGAGCATCGGTGGGGCTTCCCAACCTAACAGTAGTGCCCTAACCATTAAAAAAAACTGAAACTAGAATCCATAAAGAATGAGTATAAACTCGGATCCGTGATATATCGAAAAAAAATCAATCCAGTATCCTACGTAACATCAATGTCATGGTTGTATATCGATTCTTCACTACTGCCACAAAACACTCCTTTTGCCGGTATCCTATATTGATTGTAACAATAGTTCATCGACACACCTACTGAATGTAAGCGGCAAATCTCCGGCCAAGTAATGCGTTGGGCACTTGCGGATCAACAAAGACAGCGTCGACAGGGACCCCGGCGTCCGGAGCATCACCTGTCCATCCTCCATCTGCGCTTGCTTCCTTCAGCTCAAACAGCCTCAGCGGTTTATGAAGTTCCCTACACACCTTGCTCACTAGCCCGAGCACGCGTTGCTGCTGTAGTTGCTCCAATGC